TTTTTACATTCTTGTGCAGCCATTAGCACGCGTAGCGTTTCGGACAGGTTGTTAATCCTGATTTTCACACACATACATATCCCCAGGAAGCAGCCTGTAGCTGCTGTCTTAACTCCCAGGTACCTATTTACTGCTAGATGAACAGCCGCATCGAGGTGAAAGGAACTCTGCCCATTTCTTGACCAGACCACACACTAGAAGTTGAAGGGACGACGACGTTTCGGTCTGTCCTGGACCATTCTCAAGTCGATCGACTTGAGAATGGTCCAGGACGGACCGAAACGTCGTCGTCCCTTCAACTTCTAGTGTGTGGTCTGGTCAACATACTTCAGCCACTTTATTGTGACTCATCGTCTGCCCATTTGTTTCCGCCTCCGCCGTGAATCGAACCCGATCCCTTAGGACTATATGAACACCGAGCGCTGTCCACTCGGCCGTCAGGCCCCTCACATTGATAACCACGGGATAATATGATCACCAGTAGTTAATATTGATCTTTACCAGCGTCTCAGCAGTTCCCCTCCGTCTCTTTGTATCTAACTTCCGTGTTTTTCTTTTTAATAGTTGTTGTTAAAGATTTAGCTACTCAAGGACGAAGTGTCCATGTAGCACGGGCTATGGTGAGCCCGTATTATTTCTAATAGTTGTCAGTTTCGTCTGCCCCTTTACCCGTTGGTTCCGTGTTCCCGCCCCGGTGCTCCCCCAGCCCGCTAATAGCCTCATAAACTCCTCTCAACGTCACCCAGATAAACAAAATACAGCGTGCTACTTTTCCTGATAATTATTGGGGAGTTCTAAAGCTGTACTTTCAATCTGGTTGGCCACGATCACTTCATGGGACCATTAGCGGTGGTAGTTAGTGTGTCGGCGGGGTGGTTTGTGCCGTGGGGGGGCGGGGGGAGGGGGGATTACTTTCGGCTGGTCTCCTCTGTCTCTCCTGTGGGAGGCATTGGTCAGAGACACTGATGGAACGGCTTTTTTGTGCTTGGGAACACACAGGAAATATATATATATATATATATATATATATATATATATATATATATATATATATATATATATATATATATATATATATCGATCCATTATTTGGGAAGCTGGGAGAGAATAAGACAAATATATGGTCCTGCTGGTGTCTGATTTCTGGTAACTCAAATTACTTCTCGTCTCTTCAATGCCCTCAATATATTTTAGTTTTGCTCGCCTCACATCATGCAATTTGAACTCACTTGAGCTAACAATTAGCAACAGTGAGCGGGAGACATCTGAGAATGGAACAAAGGTTAGCTAGAGAGTGTGTGTGTGTGTGTGTGTGTGTGTGTGTGTGTGTGTGTGTGTGTGTGTGTGTGTGTGTGTGTGTGTAATGACCTGTGTGTAATTACCTTAGTGTAGTTACAGGATTAGAGCTATGCTCGTGGTATCCCGTCTTCCTACTTCTCTTTCTCGTATAACGCTTTGAAATTATTGACGGTTTGGGCCTCCACCACCACTTCACCTAACGTGTTCCAACCGTCTACAACTCTGTTGTGTGTGTGTGTGTGTGTGTGTGTGTGTGTGTGTGTGTGTGTGTGTGTGTGTGTGTGTGTGTGTGTGTGTGTGTGTGTGTGTGTGTGTGTGTGTGTGTGATAAATGAGGTCATTGGGAAATGATTGGAATGTGTTGATTAAATACTAAGAGGGAGTGATGGACAAAGGATGAATGTCTGTCGGGGATATTCTTGTATGTTGACGCAATGTGTATGTTGACGCAATGTGTATGTTGACGCAAGGTGTATGTTGACGCAAGGTGTATGTTGACGCAAGGTGTATGTTGACGCAAGGTGTATGTTCCTGTAAAGGAAATAAAAGAGACAAATGAATAAAGAAGATGCCAGAGGGAATTTCATAAATGTGTCAATAAATGAAATACGTTAATCAGACGAACTCGAAGAAGTGGATCATTAGACGAAGAAATAGTTGACGTAACCTCAGTGTCCACCTTAAATGTAAATATCTAGATAACGTGGGAACTGAGTGCAGTAAACTGAGACTGTTCGGAAGGCGGAGTTGGGAGCTGAAGCTCGACCCTTCCAGCACACCAAGGTCAGGACACACATAACATGACGCAAAAGACAAAACAGAGCAGAATTTGGATGGTAAACTACCAATTATGACAACAACTGGACCACCAAAGGGTCATTACCTAAACTGTCATTATGATTGTTAGTAAAAACATTTCAATAAAGGACTCTGTAAAAAGGTTTAGCCGAGCAGTAGGCGGCAGTCGTTGACGAAGCCGCTCAGGTGAACCAAGTTTCAGATTTAAGCCACAAGGCAATTCAAGAGAATTTGCTCTCTAGCAAACACACACCGAAACTACGACGTTGGTACAACGTTCAAACAAGTTTTAACGCCTCCTAACCAGTTATAACAACCAATATAGCAAGTTGTAACAACGTTCTAATCCGTCATAATCACGTTAAGCCAAGATGTAACAACTTTATTACAAGTTGTAACAAGCGGAAAATAGAGACAGTTACGGTTTGTGTTTCCAGGGATTCAGTGTCGGGAGCAAAAGGTACTAAAGTACTCCTCTACGTGGCGGGTCCAACAAGAGTCCTTACAACACCCAACAATGGTGTGACTGAGCTCAAACGGCTCCGGAATCTGGGCGAGAATTCATCAAGCAATACTGTTACCTAGCAGTAAATAGGTACCTGGGTGTTAGTCAGCTGTCATGGGCTGCTCCCTGGGGGTGGAGGCCTGGTCTAGGACCGGGCCGCGGGGACACTAAAGCCCCGAAATCATCTCTAGATAACCTCTAGATAAGCATTCATACAATCACCTGCCGAACCTACATCATCCCTCAATCATTTGATGAGCTCAATCAACAGGTTATGAGTTGCTAAGTACTACGGGGGTTATTTATAATCATAATTATCACCTTGGGTTGTGAAGTTATAATATTAATCTGCTCATTAAATAATAACAACTTTGTAGTGATTAAGGAAAGACCTACATGTTTCGTAACCGGTTGCATAAATGATTTATTAATCCATGCCTTGTACACCAGAAGACGTAAGCGTACAAACGGCACTAAAAATATTACAACAAAAAAAGCCATTTAATTGAAATTCAACATTTACATTTAAAAAATAATAATTTTACATTTAAAAATAATAAAATCAAGGTAGAAACGCAAACACAGAAAAATACACATTTTTGCTCAACAATTGTTGTTGTTGTTCTTTATATATATTATTTTTTTAACTTTTCAATTTAATTAATTTATTATGCACCCCATCCCCAGCGCGTAGGCGGAAGGGTTGCAGAGACGCATAATTAACCCTAAAATTCGTTTACCTTGTTAAACTCCGTCGTGATGAGCTGGGTACAAATCGACCTAAGTTCTTGCAAACTAGAACTGCGCTTTTCTTGGTAGAATTATCTATAACTAATCAGGTTATGTTGACCAGACCACACACACTAGAAGGTGAAGGGACGACGACGACGTTTCGGTCCGTCCTGGACCATTCTCAAGTCGACTCATCGTCTAATCAGGTTAGCTGGTCGTTTTAAATCATTTAGTCATTCATTTACAAGACATTTTAATTGTTGATGTGATTGTGATGGTACGGTTGTTAACCTGTTGCCACAACTAGTTCTTAATTAGACGTATTTTGGGAGGAAATGTTCGCCGGAAGTGTTCTGTTTGTATAACAGGAACATCTGTCGGGTTGTGACACGTTGTACTATGTTGTGTGTTATTCTTGAGGGAGTTGTGGAGAGACAAAGTGTGAGTTATGAGGGAGTTGTAGAGAGACAAAGTGTGAGTTATGAGGGAGTTGTAGAGAGACAAAGTGTGAGTTATGAGGGAGTTGTAGAGAGACAAAGTGTGAGTTATGAGGGAGTTGTAGAGAGACAAAGCGTGAGTTATGAGGGAGTTGTAGAGAGACAAAGTGTGAGTTATGAGGGAGTTGTAGAGAGACAAAGTGTGAGTTATGAGGGAGTTGTGGAGAGACAAAGTGTGAGTTATGAGGGAGTGTGAGTTTGTGTAGAGAGACAAAGTGTGAGTTATGAGGGAGTTGTGGAGAGACAAAGTGTGAGTTATGAGGGAGTTGTAGAGAGACAAAGTGTGAGTTATGAGGGAGTTGTAGAGAGACAAAGTGTGAGTTATGAGGGAGTTGTAGAGAGACAAAGTGTGAGTTATGAGGGAGTTGTGGAGAGACAAAGTGTGAGTTATGAGGGAGTTGTGGAGAGGCAAAGCGTAAGTTATGAGGGAGTTGTAAAGAGACAAAGTGTGAGTTATGAGGGAGTTGTAAAGAGACAAAGTGTGAGTTATGAGGGAGTTGTGGAGAGACAAAGTGTGAGTTATGAGGGAGTTGTAGAGAGACAAAGTGTGAGTTATGAGGGAGTTGTGGAGAGACAAAGTGTGAGTTATGAGGGAGTTGTAGAGAGACAAAGCGTAAGTTATGAGGGAGTTGTAGAGAGACAAAGTGTGAGTTATGAGGGAGTTGTGGAGAGACAAAGTGTGAGTTATGAGGGAGTTGTAGAGAGACAAAGTGTGAGTTATGAGGGAGTTGTAGAGAGACAAAGTGTGAGTTATGAGGGAGTTGTAGAGAGACAAAGTGTGAGTTATGAGGGAGTTGTAGAGTTATGAGGGAGTTGTGGAGAGACAAAGTGTGAGTTATGAGTGAGTTTTGAGGAAGGGAAATGTCAGGTATAACAGTATTACAAGTGGTAAAGACGTTAAATACCGGAGGAAGGGGACACAGCCTGAGGCTGGATGCATTCTTACCAAATGTAATATACAAATGAGTTCTGAAAAAAAGTAAATAGTCCTAGGAAAAGCCAGTTACCCCTCGCGGGAGGCATGCAATTAGCTGGAAATATTCGAGGCAGACGGGAAAGTCTGCCCGGGGGGGGGGGGGAAGCCTTTACATGTGTGGCTATATTAAACATTCGCCTAACAAATATTAAGATAACATGCAGACGAGGACGGAGAGAGGCGTAGGAACTCACCAAGTTGAGGAGGAAGACGTTGGTGACGGTGCGGAGGTTGCGGTGATGGAGAAGCGTCACCACCACCAACACGTTCCCCACCACCCCCACCACGAAGATCAAGGAGAACCCCACGATACGCGCCCACTCACTCGCCACCAAGGACGCCGCCGTAGGTGCCCTTGAGGTCCCTGAGGAAGAACAGCCAGGGAGCTCCGACGACGAGGTGTTAGTTTGAGCCAGGCAGGAGGCGGGAAACGACATGTTCTGAGCACCTCCCTTGTCGTCTGCCATAATAAAAGACACATTCTTCCAACTCCAAGGCATTTCTATTTCTGAATTTTCATTGTCGCACTGCCGTTGGTTCATATCGAGGCATTCTGAGGGGTTTGGGCATCTAGAGATGTCCCTGCAAGGATCTGAGAGTGTGCTTCTGGGGCCGGTTGTCTTGCTAATAGTTGGAGGAGGATTGATAGAAGAGTTGACATCCTGGAAAGCTTCTGTGACATAAGGTTTAGCTGTTTTTGTCAGGGCAGCGATGGAATGGGTCTTGACCAGTGCTTTCCCAGTTAATAAAGACGTTATAATTACTGCTTCCCTCCCACTGGTAACTGTTCCGTTGCCTGAACCTGCTTGATGTAAGCGTACATGATGGCAGGCAGCGCTGTGAGGCAGCATGCGCTCTTCCCCACACATAAGATTATTCACGTCGCTGCTCCGTTGAGACTCGTAAATCTGCTGCAAAGTGGGTGAGATTGATGGATGGTGGGTATACGTAGGCTGCGCCTCGATACCCCTCCAGCTGCCTGTCTGGAGATGTGACCGAGATGACAGTGTCGAAGATGGACTGTTCCGGAATAGTGCTTCTTCGCTGACGGGACTTTGTGAGAGGGCCAAAGATGAAGAAAGTCCTGAGGACCTCCCTAAAAGTCGGAGCAGACTTGGAGACGTCGCTGAAGGTGGGGGCAAGTCTGAGAATGTTGCTGCTGATGATGACAGAGCAGCAGAAGAGAGTAGTAAGCGTTTACCTTGAGGTAGTAAGAACTGAAGGGGTAGCAGGGGTGAGGAGGAGGTTAGCGTGAGGGGCGATAAGGTGGGGGGAATGAGAGGTGAAGGGGTAGTGTGTGAGAAGTGTGAAGGACGGATGATTGTGAGGGATGAAGGTGCACCAAGTGTGTGTTGTGCTGAAGCTGGTGACGTAAGGTATGAACGCCTTAAGAGTGACAGTACGAGAGCATCCGTCGTGGCGTGCTCACCCATCACCACGCACAACACACACACTAACGGATGCATCATCCGTTACTCTTGAGCGCGTCCTCTTAACCCTTCCTGGCGCTCAACGCTGAAGCGTCATCAACACTTCTGACTCCATCATCGTCATTGCAAATTTCTCGCCGTGTCTACATCACTCGACTCCCGTTGTGATGCCAACCTTTCATCCGGATGTTCTGGAAGCAGTGCGTGAGAGCTAGTATGGGCGTCTCTGGCGACTGTATACAGGAGAGCGCCTTGTATGGCCGCCCCTGGTCACAATACACAGGAGGGCTCCTAGGATGACCACCCCGAGCGACTATACACAGGAGAGCACCTAGGATGACCACCCCTGGCGACTATACACAGGAGAGCACCTAGGATGACCACCCCTGGCGACTATACACAGGAGAGCTCCTAGGATGACCACCCCTGGCGACTATACACAGGAGAGCTCCTAGGATGACCACCCCTGGCGACAGTAAACACACCACAACATCCTTTATACAGTACTCTGGGGGTGATATTGACGACCATATCTCTTAGTGCCTCAGCGCCTCGAGGACCTCACAGAATCCCTGCCACGATAGGTTGAGGCTCCTTTGATGGCGGGCCAACGATCTCCAATGACCTTTGATGGTCACTCCGCTGACATAAGAATCTCCAATAAGCTCTGACAGTTTTACATGTCCTCAAACGGGCCACGATGACCTCCCCCGGGTACGCCCCAGTTATTACCCAGGAACTTCCACTTTGCAAGTCAGCAGCTTACAGGGCGATCGGAAGTAGGTAGTCCGTTGATTTACTTCCCTTGGCAGTAGCAGGAACCGAGAAGTGGGGTGAGGCTCGCGGAGTGAAGCTCGCGGAGTGAGGCTCGCGGAGTGAGGCTCGCGGAGTGAGGCTCGCGGAGTGAGGCTCGCGGAGTGAGGGCCCTCAGTGGCAGGACCAGAAAGATGAGGTCTAACCCTCAATCTCAGGTCCTGAGAGGTGGGGGAAGGGGTGTCAGGTCCTCAGCTTCGGGATTCGAGAGGGAAGATAAGGACCTCAGGGTCCGTTCTTGCAGCTTCTTGCGGGTTGCTGCTTTCTGTGGGAAGAAATATTTCAGGTTGATAAGAGCTTCGTATTTGGCCGGAGGAGGAGGAGGAGGAGGAGGAGGAGGAGGAGGAGGAGGAGGATGAAAACCAGATGAAGAAGAACAGAAAGAAGAAGAATCAGAGTGGATAGAGAACGAAAAAACATTAAAATGGAAACCGTTGCACGAACGCAAAAAGCTAAAAACTAAAGAGAAACACGGTAACATAATAAGAAATTCCATTATACGGTCCGTGAGTGAGGCCGCTTGACGAGGTCATAAAAATGTGCAGGAGAAAGCCAGCACGGTCGCTTCCATACAACATACGACCGTGTTTATACACGCCAGCACACACCACATGCACACACACACACACACACACGCCTCGAGGAACACTCACACGTAACGACTTGTATACACACAGGTTGTGTATAGAGCCAGAGACCAAAGACCAGAGACCAAAGAGCCAGAGCTCAACCCCCGCAAACACAACTAGGTGAGTACACACATATATGTAGATAATATATATATATATATATATATATATATATATATATATATATATATATATATATATATATATATATATATATAGAGAGAGAGAGAGAGAGAGACTGGAGAGAGAGAGAGAGAGGTGTACATATACATACATGTATATAATTATATAAACTACACATATCTACACTACACATGTGTATACACCATGAAACACACAGACGTATGCGCGGGCGCAGTGGTAAAATAAGTGACTTTAAATGTTGGTATTATAACTCTTAATGTTAATATTAACCTTCCATAATTGATAGCAAATATGAACAACTAATTGGACTTGAATGACCCGTATTAATTACATATTGTTATGTAATTGTTCAGATATCAAAGCTGGAATATAGTGCCATGTTTAACCTGTTCCATAGGCAGTCCAATTACAGTTTGTTCATTATTATTATTATATATACCATCAGCATCTCATTAATAATATCAATGCAACTCTGATCATAATCATTATTAATATTATTTGAATTGTTATAATTGAATTGTTATAGTAATTATGATGAGCAGATAATAATGCTATTTATATTAAGACCGAAGTTATGAATATTAATATCACCGCTACTAATATTATGCAAAACAACTTACAGCCGCCAATATGAAATTTGAATAAACAAAATTTCCGTAGCTAATTAGCGGAAAATATTGACATAATTTCTGACACTTTCAATAAATCTGCTTCATTATTTTTGTAAGATGACCTCTGATGCTGTGGTTCATCTGCAGGCTGTGAGAGCATCACTTAATTGACGCTTCTGAAGCAAACATGTCGTCTCTCTCTCCTCCTGGTCCTCCTGGAGACAGTTCAGGGTTTTCTTGGTCCGGCGCCTGTCAGTCATGCTGAAGCTGCTGAAGCTGCTGAAGCTTCTAGACGTGTTTGTAAAGATATGTTTGGTGTTCGACTTCTCCACAGGTCAGTTACCTGCTCCTGGTTGGGGGTTTTCTCACCAGGTTCATGGGTATTTCTGGCATGTCCCTGTATTTCTACTATAGGAATGAAGGAGTGAGTGAGTCAGTATATGTGTGTGAACGAGTTAACAAATGAATGTGTGTGTGTGTCTGAATCAGCGGGTGAATGATTGAGAAGGTGGGTGAGTGTGTGTGTGTGGGAGGTGGTACCCTGAGGACGTGGGAGATGGTACTCAGATCTTTACATAAATTTCACACATACACAAGTGTGTGTGGGGGGATTTACCCTCTATGTTATTATGTCTGAGAGAAGACATTACCATTAAGTTCACTACGGGCTCGCTACGTCCCGTGCTACTTGTGGCTGTTGTTCCGGGTTGTTGAGTCTAGAACAACAACAACATTACCATTACTTGTTATTGTTATCATTCTTGTTATCATTGTTATTGTTAGCATTCTTGTTATCATTGTTATTGTTAGTATTATTTACGTTTTTATTATTATTTGGATCTATTAATATAATAAGTTTTTCCGTAACAATTAACATAATTATGTTCTTTCAATCTGTGTTATGCTGATCTCTCTCTCTCTCTCTCTCTCTCTCTCTCTCTCTCTCTCTCTCTCTCTCTCTCTCTCTCTCTCTCTCTCTCTCTCTCTCTCTCTCTCTGAATTATTGACAACAAGTTGCTTGGAATATCACCAGACGCCAATTAGACTAATGAAAATGATTTAAGGATAATTACCCTCCCAGATAATAGCGATAATACCAGCTAGATTATTTGTAACAATTGAAGATAATTGCTTATACCAGGTAATGTCCTAGCGTGAGGTGACGAGGCGTCGAACCTTGGTCCATACGATAGACTGCGACATGACACCACTCTGGTGAAGTCAGGGGGACATGACCAAGATATCAATGGGTGTCCACTGAGAGGTGTACTTTATTTCTCGGTGTATAGACACTGCCAGAGTTTAATTTTGTCCTGGACAATGTTCAGAACAAAGTATACTTGTTGATTGGTCAGAGAGCTGTTGTGGTGGACTTAATAGCCCTCCAGAGGTTGATGGGCAGTAAGCCCAACACCCAACCAACCCATTATATCGCTCGAGTCGCATCAAAAAAGACTTTTGTTATCCATTAGTCTTATAACGATACCGGATTACAGATTTGTGAACTTAATTAAGCCACGTCCTAATGTCAGCAGCCTAAATTAAACTTAAGTTGAATTGACTTTAAACCTAAAAACTTAAGTTTGGAGTTCATGGGTTGTAGCTGCTTACATACATAACCCAGGGAGGATTGACTGGGTAGTAATCCATAACTGTTCACCCCCCTGTTCACACAGCAGTAATTAGATATCTGGCTGTTATCCAGTAAGGTAAGGCTTACCAAGCTATGGGAAAGGAACACAAAGGTACAGGGCGTATTAGGAACAACATTTGTGTTGGTTACAGTGCAGAATGGCCTGTAACTAGGGCAGGTTGTATTAAAAAGCGCAGGCACTGGTAGCATAGTGGTAAGACACTCGTCCTGCGCCTCGGGAGCGATTTGGTATGGGTTCGAGTCTTAACCCAAGGAGGAATGACTGGGTAGTAATCCATAACTGTTCACGCAGCAGTAATTGGGTATCTGGCTGTTATCCAGTAATGTAAGGCTTACCAAGCTATGGGAAAGGAACACTCAACCAGCTAACAGGAGTCAGAAGTCGTCTACTCCTGGACCCACGTGTGTAAAAAAATATATTGAAGTGAATTACAAGGCGATTGGATTTGTATCTGAAGACGTTACGAAGAAAACTAGATTTTCTCTGGAGATGTCCGAACAATGTAACATTGTTTTTAAAATGTACCACGTAATGATGACTTGCCAGCAAAAAAAAATTGGTTTACTCAGAAATGAGTTTCAAAGAAATTGGGGTTTTGTCTATACATGTTACAAAATAAACAAATCGAACATTAATACCTCAAAAGAAAATGAGTTGCACATAGAGAAAACGATTCTCTTACCTATATACGTTAAACAGAAAATGGAAACTCTTCCTAACTAATTGCTACACAAAACAAGGCTGTTGCCTGGGGCTACATTACAAAGAAAGTGTAGATTTTTACCTACGTAGATTAAAAGGGGGATTCTACTTGGGATTCGTTACAAAGGAAACGGGGATTTTACCTGGGCAGATTACCGAGGAAATAGAGCAGTTTGCCTGAAAAAATTACAAAGAATATAGAGATCTTTATACCGAGTTGGAGGGAAAGTTAATTGGACTGGCGCCAGTGTCCGCGGGGAACTATAATTATATTAATAACTCTAAGCTTCTTCCTCCATTTTACTGTAAAACTGCCTCTCTCTTTTTTTATTATACATGCATGAATGATTGAGAGATGTAACGAACACATTCACCATGCATGTGTGGCTCTTGTTTGTGTTTATATATATATATATATATATATATATATATATATATATATATATATA